GGCCGGTGTCCCCGAAAAGAATCGGGGCCCGGCGGAGGGAGTGGGTGTCCCGCCACTGCCAGGTGGGGCGGCGGTGCCTCTGAAGCCGGCGGCGGCGTAAAGMCCCTCCGTTTCTCTTACGATGCGACTTTGGCATCTCCTTGCAGAGCCTCACAGAGCTCGCAGAGGCATTCGTCCGCTTCGGCTTTTCGTTCCAAAAGCACGGGACACTGTCAATGTGGAGGAGGAATGATGTGCCAGGGGCAGGGATGAGGCTGAAAACGAGACCATGCGGCTAAACCAAAGCGCTGGTGGTTCATCAACGGGAAATGTAGGAGGTGTGCTCACTGCACACACCCCTTGTCCCATKGCTCATGTGGCACTTCTTGTTCTAACAAGTTCCATGAAAATAAATAAATAARCAAACACAAATTTCTTGTAGTCRCTGTTAAAGATACCATTATCTATTGGTGAAATTTCCTGCCCGGAATGTTACTACTGAATTGCTAGTGCTTTGTATTCTTTCTCTTTACAAGAAGGAGATGGTAAACTTCTGGTTATACGAGYCAAATAAATGATGTTTGGTGTTTTGTGGGGGTTTGGGGTGTTTTGTTTTTCTTTTTTTTTTGAAGAATGAAGAACGATTTGGGTTGTATATACACATAAATGTCTGTGCAATCCAGTGACACAGAAACTTGAGCAAATGTGGCTCTTCTGCTTGCCCAACAGCCACCAGCCTCGAAACCAGAATGTAGCACGAGTAGATGGAAGAAAAGCAACATGAACTTTGCCCGACCTTGTTTTTTATTTAGCCTCACCTGAGTATCCTTATGAGTCACATGTTTTTTGGCAGAAATTATCATCTGGACAAAATGTTTTACCTTCTTTGTTAAGCAGCATGAAGATCCCAGGGGAGGTGAAGATAGCATTGGGACCTGGAAGATCATGATTAGGCAAGCTGCTTGAAAAACTGTATTTTAAGAATTGGGTGAAGGTGGCTTTTATATTTGTAGGCTTTACCTTTTGAATGCTTCTTTCATGTTTCATACTTTTTATGAGTTGCAATGAAGGAGAGCTCTAGGAGACAAAACCATTTTCTGTCAAATCTTTGCGAATGATTAAGTCAAAACCATAAAATGCAAAAATCATGGTATTAAAGGTGCAAGTCTCTCATTAACTTAGGTGACTTATGTCAGTAATTAAGATCCTGGCTGACAAAAGTTTTGAATTGTATATTGTGGAAAACAGGAGAGGACAGACATGCGAACATTTAAGGAAACCATAGCAACAAAGAGCTCAGTAGCTCTGTACAGGTAAGAAATGCAAGAAATGTATTTGCAAGAGAAAGAGGCTTAGGAAAAGAAMACCGCAGCCCAAGAGAACCAGGGAAGAAATTAATACCAGATAAGACCAAGAGACAAAAGGTCATTTCCCCTTAGGGCAATTACTAAGAAAACTCCACACAACATCTCATTTCTGTGCAGGGTTTGAATCTGCAGTGTCTCAGGTGTATCATGAAAACTGTAAAGCATCAGTACTTAGTTACATTGCTGGTCAGAATATCAGAGCAGAGAGGTCAAGGAATCAGTACCAATGCCCCAGCTTTTCCCAGACGTATGGGACAAACAAAAGGTGTACTGAAGTTGATTGGACAAATGTGGGACAAACAAAAGGTGTACTGAAGTTGATTGGACAAATGTTGGGCAAACAGGTGACTGATCTTCTTACAGAAAAAAGTCCACTCAGGAGGGCTCCTACAATGATCCCTTAACCTTTAATTTCTTGATAAGCTGTGCTTAAGGGAACTATGTAGCTTGGCAGTCCATGAAATTTGTTAGTGTTTTAAATCAGCATATTCATGGCTTGTTGGCATTGAGACAACCTGGTTTCAGGTTGTCTATTTGATTTGACTCTATTTGCTGTTTTGAGGAATGTATTTTCTTTCTTGAGTACTCATCATTGTGGACCCGGAGGCACATGCATGCTTTGTGTTTCAGAAATCAGAAATCTGAATAGCAGGATCTTTCAAGAACATGTACATGAACTTTGAATTTCATGCCTCCATGCACGAGTATAAAGAACACAGAATTAATGGCTCTTCCCCAGCATTCTTCAGATGCAACTCAATGACTACSTAGCTCATCCTTTTTGCAAATTTTAAAATCTGTAAAACCTTTTTGCAAAGGTGTKAAGAGCTTTTTTCCTTTTCTTATTTGAAATTAATATTTTTTGAAGTCTATATCTGTTAGGCCTGTTCAATACAATTTTGCACCCATKATGTCTTCTATGCCAAATTCTGAACCTCTGAATTTGTGTACAGGCATGTTCTCGCCTACTTAGAGAAAGTCAGGCCCCAGAGAAGTGTTCAGCATGTTAATCTCTGTCTGAGAATGCAAAGTTTGGGTATTCTCGGCTTAACATCCTTAATACTAGTTATTTTGTATAATTCTAACAACTGCTGTACTAATACTGTCTGAACAATTCCTAAACTCATGACATTGAAGTCTCCATGAGGAAACCTCTGGTGGAAAATAAAGATGATTCCAAAAATCCTCATGGGATTCTTCAAAAAGAGGCCTCAGAAAATTGTATTGCTCTGAAGCTAAAGACTCAATGTCCTCTCCTRCCCCATCCATGGAGATGCAGAATACACTGCCAGGGAATGAGTGCAAAGAGAACTTTTGTACTAATCAAAACAGCACTGGCCATACCAATAAAGCAATTACAAAACAGTGATGCATCCAATAAAGGATTAAACACCTTGTCCAATGATGTGCTTTACAAGGAATTAGCAGTTAACACTGATGTTTGTAGCAGTTGAATCACCTCATAAGACCATAACTCAGCAACCTCACTCAACTAATTGCTTTCACTGGTTTCAGCTGAAAAATCTTTCTCCCTCATTTTGGACAGAAACCTCCAGGAAAATTTTGTTGGCTCACACTGGAGTGATACTGCAGACGACCATTCTGGCTACTGAGAATTCATGATCATTATGGTGCACCAAGGAAGTGATCCTGCTGTTTACCTGCATTTTCATCCAGATGCAAAAGATTGATCTATGCAAAAGCCAAGCACCATCCTCCTCTGCATGAGCTGGAAGAATTGYGTTTGTCAGTCACCTGTAGTGGGCTGTGCTCTGGCACGCACAYGGAGCAATCATTTATGCTGCAGTGCTGCTTTGAGATGCTGCARCCAGCCTGGGCACCCACCCACTCCACCCTAGGTTCTCAAGAGTTTTCAGGAACCTCCCACACARCTGTGGAGATGATCTGCAGAGTTCTTCATCCACCCAGTGAATGAAAGTCTTGGAAACYCCTCATAGTCCTACACACCTGCAAGGCCCTGAGAGTCCAAGGAGTGCCTTTTACAGCTGGATAACTTACTGCTCCCCCAGTGCTGTGCACCAAATCCTTGCTGCCGAAAGAACATTTAGGAACTGAAAAAGAGAGAAGACTTGGAAGGTGTTAATCCACTGCAATTGTGCCTGTAGTGGCTGGTAACTTTTGCAGTAACTGTTGTCACAGATGCTGCATGTAGGTCAGAAACATGGCCTGAAACCACAGAAAATTCAATTGCAGCAATTGAAAATTTTTGAAGAAATAACAAGCTTAAACAAGCTGGAGGCTGCAAAACTACAGGGGAAAGAAAACATTACTTCTTGATGCTGGATTCTAATCTGAATGAGAACAGAGTTCAAGGTTTGCTACAAAGGATCAAAGAAATCAGAGGACAAACTGGCAAGAATGAAAATGAGAATTAGCAGTGGTAGACACGAACCTGGACCAAAGCTTTCTACAGCTGAAGAGGCTTGGCAAAAAAGATGAAACCATCATGGAGAACGAAAGCTTCAGACACAAAGAAGATGAAATAATGATTGCAAAATCCCAGGTTGTGACAAAGGAGGCCAATTGCCTAAAACCATATTTAAAGTGCCCCTTTCTTCTATCTGGCTTTTTGTGGAGCACTTTTCATTAATTTAGTTCTAGTTAACAACATTAAAATTTAGACTATGAACTAGATAATATTCTTCAAATCTAAATTATTTAAATCATACATGTAGTAGAACCAGTTTCATCTCTTATAGGTACAAAATCTCATGGAGCTGGTCCTGTTTGAGGGAATGGAAATTCAGCAGCAAGGTTAAGTGGGCCTGATGCACAACTTCATGAATTGGATATATGCTGCTCTCTTTACCTGGTAAGTATAACCCGGCTAGTGTGGGGAAACTGAGCTCTTGTCAGCTCTGTAATTTCAGCTCCTCATTAGCCAGTTGGTGCTGCTGAATTGGTACTCATCCTTTACCAGAAAAGCTTCTAAGGCATTTACCCCTTCAGAGTTGATACCTGTGATGAAAGTAGCCAGAAAGGGATGTGTGTCTTGGCTGCTGACTACTCAGCTCCTCCTACCCAGACTGTCACATTGATCACAACCAATATAATTTATCTCAAAATAGGCTGCCCTAGATTCAGCTGCTGCACTTCTGGTGTCATTAACAGTCATAACGTCCATGGGACCACCAAAACGTTTGCAAGTATTTGCATTATGCCTWTTTTCAGCTTTGAGCCCTCCTTCTGGCTGTGGAGACCAGGTTTTGCTGGGCTTTGATTGATCTGTGGTGTGCTGTGATCTGCAGCACTTCTGGGTTCTCCTTAGAATCTTTTGCAAGTGCTAGTCACTGCTTCACCTTTCTGGTGTTGTCCCCTCGTGCTTTCTGGGAAGTTGAAGGAAGGRTCTACAGCTAGTCAGGGTCACAAAAAGGCAGGACAAGGTGCCATTTCCAGGGACAGCAAAGAAGCTCAGAGATCTCAGCAGAGGCTGGGAATCATGGGAACACTCACAGTAGTGTCATATGTGGATTTGGGAGCATCTCTGTTTGCATAGAAATTTCAGTAGTACCTGGGCCTGCAGATACCCATTTTCTCCAGGAATAGCAGTCCTACTGTTTATCCTCAAGATAACATTGTAATTACTTGAGGATCACAATTCATAACAGCCTGTTACAGAAAGAAACAGGAGTTAGAGCTCCTGTGAAGTTTTGGGCACGCCTTTGACTCTTTCTGCAGGATTTTATACCATTTCTAGCCTTGGATGTGGTGATCTTGCACAGGTCTTGTTCTTCCAAGCTTCCTTCTGYGTTTGGTGTCCTGTGGGGGAAGAGGTGAACTCATGCTGCTTCTTCATTGCAGAGTCCATTGGTGGGACAGCTGTCTGAGGCTCYTTGCAGATAACTGATTCAGAAAAACACCTCTAAATTGTCCTGATGACTGAACTAGCTCATTGCTTTTTACTTGCAAGAGATGAGGATGGATAAAAAATATGACAAAAAATTGCCTTTTTTTATCCCTTGATCTGGGCCCTAATATAGCTTGGCTATAGCTGCACAGTAAAACTGGTGTTGGGTTTGATTTCAAGTTATTACACAATCTTTCTGTTAAAGATTTCTGAGGTGAGCCAGGTATGTTTCAGCAGGAGGGGAAGGAATGGAAGAAGAAGATGCCTTTTTCATGTTTAAAATATCTCTAAATACAGTTTCAGAGGTTAGATCATGAATTCTGCAATTGGGGGCAAATATAAACCAATGTGAATAACAGAGTGAGTAGAAGTAAACATTCTTTATAAGACTGGTTGAAAACTTGCCTGAAAAAATTCTTCAACATCAGATAAGGCAGATAATGATTAACTTACATATTCCCCCCCCCCCCTCCTTTTTATAATATAGGCTTTTCTTAATGTTGTTGAGATTTCTAACCCACACGAGGGATTTGAAGAGGTGCCTTTTTAGTGACTGAAGTTCTTGAGGCTGGAGTTCAATAAAACTTCAAAATAAGTAGAAAGTTGTAGCTTTGGTTGAACAAAAATCATAGCTTACTACCAAAATTATAGACCCAGTAATTCCCACCTGGAAATTGTGGTTTGTTTGTCTGCTTTCCTCTCTGAGCTGGACTCCAGTATCTGGATGATTTTTGTAGGGCACACGTTGTCACAGCTGGCAGTGATGAGTATTTCACCTATTTCACCTTGTACTGAGCTTGGGAAGCTTTGTCCACTCTGGTGAGTGGCAACACAAGTCACAGAGGCAACGTTTCCAAAACAGAATTTTCTGTATTTAGCAAAAAGTATTTACCTAAAGTTTCTTTTTACTCTTCCGTTGAAATGGAAAAAATGCTCCAGGGAAAACACAGCTACACAAGTTCCTTTTTTTTCATCCCAGTGTTCTAGTGGATCTTCCTCCTTCCAGTGTTTATTGAGATCTCTTTATTCCTTGCAGCTAAAACGCCTGTTTTCTTCCATTAAAAAGGAGAGAAATGTGTAGAGATGCTAAGAAGATGGTTGTGATGTGCTGTGCTCTGGCTGCAGGTTGCTGCCTATTGCCTGGGGGCTGTGGGACCAGGAACCAGCATGTTCCACTGACCCAGTGCAAGGTCCCACAACTTGAGAGCTGCTCTCTGGTGCCACCATAAAAACAGACATAGAAATGCAGAGAAATTTTGGAGAATCCAGATTATACAACTGTATTACTCAAAGGCCAAAGTCTTTCTGCTTACACTGTTTTTGAGGTTGGCTGGTTCTGCTCTTTGTTCTGAACATCAGCCCAACTTTGCAGCAGGATCAACCTCTCCTTGGATCTGGGAGTGTGCTTTAGTGAGCACACCTTTCTTTCTTCCTGCAAACATCAGTGCAGGGTTTCTATCTTCTGCTTGAGGTATCTTTGGCCATCTGATCCTTTGGTATTTTTCAGTGAGTTCTTGCGTGCTTGACTTCTATGGGGTTTGTACGATTTTGGTTTATGTATGTTAAGTTTACAAGCTATATTGTCCCATACAAAATATACATAGTATGGGAAGGGCTAAACTTCCTGTCTACATTGTGAGGTAAGAGAGGAATATCTGTGCTTTTCAAATGTCTGATTATGTTCAGAGGGTTCAGTTGTAAATAGTGACAGAGACATGCAAATGGAGAAGGATAGTGAAGATATGGTTTTGGATAAAAACCATAAAGGGGCTCATACCCTCTTGCATGTTTTAAGATTTAAATAGAGACAGCATGGTCTGATATCACTAAGACTGGTGGAATGGKTTTTTTTTGTTTCTTTTTTACACTGTTCTGACAGTAACTTACTATATGCTCTTGGGTGAGTCACTTTCTGAATTCCTTTCCCTTTCTACTTTGCATTTGCTATTTGGATTACAGACTCACCAGGGAAATGAAGCTTCTCCCCTGAAATATTTGTGTAGCATTGAACTCAGTAGAACTGTTCTGTAATTAGAGTGTTCAAATATGGATGTAATGCTAATAATAGTAGTAATTAATTAGACATTTAATCATCACAGTATTTACATAACATTGCCAGCATTTCATGCAAATGTTTTATCCAAATATTTTGTGGGAGTTTACCCATGTATCCTTTTCACAATAGTGTTATACATCTTCATGAGAGAGAAACAATATTTGTTTTTTTATGGTTTAGGATCATTGTCTCTCTCGCTCAACCCTAATGTAATAATCTCCCTTGCAGTTAATAAAATTTTTCCAACCTTTTGAAAAGGTTCTCCTTGAAGGATATTACATATTAGACAATAATTAATCTGCCCTCCATGATAGTCACTGTCCTTAGGAAAGCTCTGTAAGTAACCTACCATGTAGATTTCCACAAAGAATGTCTTGCAGATGCTGAAATCCACAGATTTAATCAATTGTTTTTCATACAATTTAACGAGCAGATTCTGCATAGCACAAACCTAGTTATAACAAGCTGAGTATGGTGTTATCCCAAAGTTTAGTTTGTCCATACTGTTGCTAATGTTGATGAAAAGTGCTAAACTTGCCAGATCTCAGGCTGGTGGTCAAACTTGAAAATTATTCATGTATATGACATCCTTCTGTGGCTGAAAGAAAAAAAAAAMCCACCTTAAAAGATGAGAAGACATAATGCCACCACTATAAATGGCAAAGTCCTATGAAATACAAAGCTATAAATGACATATTTCCAGGGCAAAAGCAGTTTTGACTAYTGATCTAACACTGCTGGCAGTGTTACCACTCTGAGCCATTTCCTGGGTTATGCACTACGACTGGATAGCAAAAGAGATTCTACTATTGCCAATGCAACACAGATGAAACATTATTTCTGAACCAGGTTCAGAGGGCAGGACAGCAATAGGTTTAATTATTGCAATTTGAGTTTGAACTTCAAAGCTGCCTAGCTGCCCAGCTGCTGGAGCAGCAGGGTGTGAGAGCACACACAGGGACATACAAGGTTCTTTGCCCCCTCTCTGCAAATCTTTGTGTGGTCTGTAGGTATTTCCCAACACCTCAGGGCCAGCAGTTAAGGCCATTTTATCCAAAAGGGATAAGGGCTGGAACAGGGGCTCATATTAAAAACACTGGTGGCCAGAGATTGCTGTGGCCTTTGAGCTGCTCCCTTCTGATGGAGTAGTCATTCTTAGCACTACTACCAGAAAACATTGTCCTTCTCAAAGTCTCCTAGCTGTGTCTCTCACCTGGAGCTAACATAGTGTTGGTTAACAAAGTCTAGACGGCAATGTACAAAAGAGAAATTTGCATAATATCAAATCAGAGTTTAATGAGATCACATGTGCTGTTTGCTCTGAGATAGGTGGGATGTGATTGCATTTCCTACTTCATATGGTGGTTTCAGGGGTTGCTGAAAATGGTTATTTTCTTTATATTTAGTTCCCTTGTGCCTAATACTCAGTGCCTCCCTTTATCTCCGCACCTGCCACCACCTTCTTCTTTCTCTAGAAGAAGACTAGATTGATTTCTAGAATAAAAGACCTAGTCTTAGTCTTAGTACATTAGTTGTGGTTCCAAAAAGTGCCTAGGTGTGACATTCATGATGAAGGGGGAGAAAGAAGATCTCCTTCCTATTTATTTCCCTWTTGGTTTTTTTTTTTAGGTAAGAAGCAGTTGGTAGAAAGCTTCCTACTACTTCATCCTAGGCAGAGCTTCTCAAGGAATCTGGAAACATTTTAGTCACTTAAATACTGTCCCTTGCTAATTTTTCCAATGCTTTCCAGCAGCTCTTTGGCTAACTTGGACAGTAAATTTTTTTCTCTGCAAAACCAGGATCCAATTCTCAGCACTGAACATATTCTTGGAAATGTGTGCACCCACCAAGTGATTTTAGATTGTTTTTTAAACAAGCTCCTTTTTGTTGCTGTATTCTTGCTTCAGTATCTCAGTGTCGTAGTGGGCTATTAGCTTCTCCATACTTGCCCAGAGGGGCACTACGCATTCCTAGGGCTATTTGCTCTCTGCCAGGGCATCTTCCCCATGCTACAATATCTGACTTCCAAAACCCCTCAGAGGAACTGGGCGACATCACCAGATCTTGTTGTGGTTTGACCTTTTCTCTTCCTCAAGCTTGCTGAAGTGAGAGCTTGATTTGTATGTCTTCTCTTGTTTGACTGACTTTTCTTGTTAAAATTTTCTATAAGCAATGATAAAATTTCCTGGATCATGTGTCTTGAAAAATATTGGGTTAGACTTACTTTAGGTATCAAAGGCATCATTAGAAGCTGAAATATGATTCAAGGCAGTGTCATGGCTAAGAGGATATTTGGAATAAGAAACAACTATGCACTGTTCGTTGAGTGGGGATGAATCAGAGATACGTTCTACACGCGATCACTGTTCTGTACTCCACTTGGACAATGAACAGGTCTGTGGCATTGAAAGGAATTCCAGCAAGCTTATTTTTGGCAATCATGGACAGGCTACTTGGTACACTGGTTCTCTTAATTTCAACTGAGTAAAAGAAGGCAGTTAAGCTCCTTTATGAAAGCAAACAAGGCAAAAAGAGAAGGCTGTGTCTAAAGCAGAAAAAAGCAAGAAATATGAAAGACTAAGGTGGTGATTTTTGGGAGGGGGGGAGAATTACCATTTTTGGTAATGAAGAGCAAGGGCAGTGGGTGGAACACAGCCGTGGATGTTTTCTCTGGAAGCAGAAACACAAGAGCTGCAGCAGGAGAGTCAGGAGAACTTGGAGGAGCATTTCCCCTCAGCAGAAGGCAAGACAAAGCTTTTGAGCAGACTGGTGTTTGAAAAGACAGGCTTACAAGCATGCCCAGATGAACTGTTTCTTGTATGTTCCTATTGGGTCTGGGAAGAAGAAGGATATGTCCATTCTTTGTGTATAAAAACAGGTGTAACAAAGAAATACCTGGCTCAGATCACAAGCTTCACTATGCAACAGAAAGAGTTAAGCAAATCCCAGGCACTTCCTTTTKACTACTAGAAGAGGAAACAGTAGAATAAACATATATATGCAGGTATGTATTTTCCATTGGAGCAGCCCACTGCTTGAAAACAGTGCTTCTATGGCATGAATGACTGTCAATGAGTTTTATTAGAAAACCTTTTTTCACTTTTTTTTTTTTCAGTTAGAACAAAGAAAAGACTGAAAATAAATTTAAATCTTTTCAATATTTTAAAAAGCAAACAATTTGATGTCTCTGATTTCAGAGCGAAGTGCTGGACTTGGAACTGCATTTCAAAAATAGGCTAGAAAAGCTGGACTTTTAAAAACAAAATATAACAATTCCACCCATGTTTCAGTCCAGCCAGTGAAAAAAAAACACAATTCATTTTGATAGTGTGAATCTGGTTCTCCCGTTTCTGAAAACAATGTACAGTTTTAGCATGCATTTCTTTCTATCTGAAATGGTGAGTCTAGCAATTTAAAATATATAATAGTTATTCTTTCTGACATTCAGCCTCCAGAAGTCCCTTTCAAACCTAACAATTMTGTGATTCTGTGATTCATTTTCCCTGCTCCCAGCTGGTCATCACTGTGCATAGACAACCCCAGGCCTGGACCAGGGGTCCCCTTCCTTAACCTGGCATCTGCTTTCTGCTATGGCCTGGGATCCTTTAATTTTCCCTGACTTGTGGCTTTGGTTAAGGAAGAATTTCTTCCAGATCCTTTATTCAAAATAAATCTGAARCTGTTTCTGATACTGCTTCTTCAAGTGTTTTCAGCTATTACAGGGACAAATCCAGAACCATCTTAGTGTTGTAGTCTAAGTACTTGCTCTGGGGAGACAGATGAAGTTAAATTGGATCTTCTGTGCTGTTCAAGTTATAGATTTTGTTGTTTTGATGAGTTTAGTATTTTCAGCAGCTGTTGAAAAAGCTGTAAGCAATTAAAACCTGATTCTATTAAAACCTCTTGTATGCCTATTAATGCTTTTGTTTCAGAATCAGGTGAAAAGAACTTTGTGATAGAGTTCAGTTTTTATACTTTTTTGCTGTAAAGTGGGCTTTGCTAGTGGTGACAATCTTTACTAATGACACTGCCAGTCACTCCTTATGGTCTGGAATGATTACTTTTTTCTAAAATGAACTAGAGATTACAAATGTCCCATTTTTTTTTCCTAAAGGTTAATCTGAGACTTCAATCTGAGAAAAATCCATTTACAAGTAAGAGTCTGACTAGCTTTATCCACTGCATCAGAAATCATCCCAGTGGTGATCATTAAGGAAAGGCTGTAAAAAGCAGTAGAACTGGAAAAGATTTGGAGGAATCCTTGCAGAAAAAGAGGCAGACTTCATTCTAAGAGGTGTTAATGGGAGCTTAACGTTATGGATGCAAGAAGTGGGTATTCCTGTTAAGTACTGTGTCCAGCTTTGGACATGGCACTTCCAGAACAAAGCAGGTCTCCAGAGACAGAAGCCACAGGATTGATAAAGAATTTGCTAAATATTTGTCTAAATTATGTGGAAATCATGATGTGTTTGTATCAGTTTATGCTAAATGAAGGGAAATACAAAAGGGAACAAGACAATTCTTTCAGTATGTCACAAATGGTTATGAAGAAAATAATGATCAGTTATTCCTTAYGACMCCTGCAGGGAGGACAAGGACTTTAATGGGTCTTGTTCAAAYGGGTCAGTGATAACCAGAGCTTCATGGCATCATCATTCTTACTCCTCGTATTCAGCTGGGCAAAAGTGGATGCTAAATACTCTGTTGTGCAGAGCGCCCGTGTTCAAGATGTACTGAAGAACTGGTCCTAAATGTTGAGCAATGAGAGATTTGACAAGAAAAAGGCTGTAATAATGTCACAGATTCTTTTGGGACATCTATAAGCATTATAAGTATTTATATAAAAAAGTAAGATTTTATGTACCTTTGTATTTTGTTAGAAGATAAATCATTCGTAACGTTTCACASACTAACATTCCATATGATAATTCCATGCACTATGGCCATCTTAAATAAAACGTAAAAGAAGAAGAACATTTTATTCACAAAATGAATATGAGAAAGTTGAATTAAAACTGATATGCTAGATGATTTTTTTTTTTTTTTTGAGATGTGCAATTCCATGTGACCAGGCATAACACAGGCTGCACAAATAATACAGAATGTTAAAGAACTATGTTAGAAGGCTAGTATTTGTACAAAAAACCCAGAAAAAACTACACATGGCATAAAACCCCTGAAAAAAAAGTACTCCATTTGTATCAATGAAAATCTTGTCATTCACTTCAGTGAAGGTAGGTTTTATCTACCATTTCACCTCACATTATCTTATAATATGAAAATAAGATTCGGGTACTAATATAACTAGAGAATTAGAGTACAAGATAATCTCCTCTGTAAAATGGGAGGCTTTTGTTCAAAATGTCTACAATCATTGGTTTTATCTGCCTTATCATCTCTTTTCCTCTCTGATGAATGCAAACTGTTTGGGTAATTTGCTTTGACCAGATCTGTGYCTGGAAGATCTTAAGTGGAAAAACTATTTGCATACTTAAGAATCCTGAGAACAGAGAGTGGCATTATAGTTTGGGATTTGGTTGGGGGTTTTTATCCCCTGTGCTGGGCTAAGAGAGACACTTTACATTTATATGTAGCAATTACCATTCCTAATTTTTGTAATGAAACTGTCTGGTGAAAAATGTAACATGTAAAATGGAGGYTGCCAGGCTAAGCTTCCTGCTGTTTGCTTCCCTCATTTTTAATGTACCAGCCCATTAAAGTTTTATATCTCTCTCTTCTCTTCTCCTCTGACTGTTTTTACAAAGTATTGTTTCTCAAGAGATGTGGTCTGCAAAGAAAAGGCAGCTCACTGGAACTCTTATGCAGAAATATGAAGGGGTTGCTTCTATTATTTTTTTCTGAACTAGTTTGAGAAATTGTTTCATACACACACACACACACACACACACACACACACACACACACACACACACACACAAACACACACAAAATTGTAACAGAACAGAAATTGTAGCTGCTACCTTGTGCCATTTTTTGGTTGAAAATCTCAGCAGCACTAAAGATGAATGCAAAAGAATTACTGAAAAAAAATCYACATAAAGAAACATGCAGTAACAGTACTTATTGAACTGGTTATACATGTGTGTTTTTTTTACAGAATGCAGAAATCTGCTTGCAGGAAGTAACTTTGTCCAATGGCAAGAGTGATGTGATGAATAAAGCTCACCACTTTGTCTGTATCAGTACAGAGAAGACCATGGAAAATGACCACCCTATCCTTACCTATGAAAAATTTTGTTTTTAAAATATCCAAACAAGAATGTGCTTTTAGCAATTTTTTTTCCTTTGTATTGAATAATCCAAGGGTAATTCCGAGGTTGAAAGTGCAGCAGTGCTAATTGGAAGTATTCTCTCAGCAAAAAGTGCATAGTAGAGAATAATAAACTCAAACTGGAAGTGGCAGAATGATTTCACTGATAATACTCATGCACATTTCATTACCCTTTTTGACCTCTGGTCACTAGCAAAATGTAAAACCTATGATTAAAAATAAASATTTTTAATATTAAAAAAATGTTATGTCTGTTGCTGACAAAAACTGAAAGAGATGCATTATCTTCTGCTAACAACTTCTCACTTTTTCCCAGGGCTGCARTGTTATTTAAAGAATATGGAAATAAAACTCATATTTCTCTCTGTCTCCTATGGTGGTACTTCAGATTATTTACAAAAAGATAGTTTAAACAATGCTGTGAACTTGTGCTGCTAGTCTTACTGACGAGTGATATACTATATTTCTAGGAATTCTACTTCAGGATGTTTAAAAATAAACGCCAAATTATTACGTTTTAGACTATAATCTAGTTAGAAACTCACATAACATTTCCATGATGTGTAAATATTTATAATTCATTTCCACTATCTGTTGTGTAATGTGTGCAATGCTTAACATGGATTTATTATTTTAACAGATATTAATTTCACAGCCCTTTCATTTTGTGAATTTCAGCAGAAGTGCAGTATAATGCATAATTTTCAGGAGCATTAATTTTTTCAGGTTGTTCAGACTCATAGGAAATAATTTGCTTGCTAATCCTATGAAATAGAATGGCCTTTTTCAGTGAGAAAAGAAGATCTTATGTCCAGATGCTTTATAATTTATATCTGTTTTTTAAATTATTGAAAAAGTGCAGCCTGTGGGCAGAGAAATCTCATTACTTAAAATCTGCACTTCAAGAGAATTTAAAGTTGTACAAATAGATTTTAAGTTTGATAGGAAAATTGATTGGAGATTGTACATTGTGAATACATTAGGTTTATAAAGACAAAACATGCATGAAGGGCAATTACTGCTAGTGTTGCTATATTAGTATGAATGTTAATAGCATGTTTGTTTTTGAAATGGGTTATGCATTCTGGTAAATGTCTGCTTGAATCTAGTCATCTGTGTATCACTTGTCTAAGTACTCTCATTTAAGATGCCATATCCCTTCTTGTAGCAATAAAGGGGTAAAGCAACATTAATATTAAATAATTAGAAAAACAAAAGGGGAATGATTAAACATATTTACATAATTGAAATAACACTGAGTCGCAGTGGGAAATCGGGACAATGTTGTCTCCTTTCAAAGTAATTCATAATTCAGATTTTTAATTATGGCATATTCATTCATTTAAAGATGATTCTGGATGAGAGGGCCACTAATGAAATACAATCATTAGCATCTAAACAAAGTAATTTAGAAAGTCTCCTTTCGGGGAAAAGATTTCTAGAACATCATCAATCACACAAGATATGCAAAAACAAGCAATTAAACCACACACAAGAACTACAACAACCTTATATATTAGTAATGTACACATGAAAACATAACTGATTACAATGATTAGAGTAGGGTAGTGTGGTTAATTTGTATGTTATGTAGTAATTTCATGGAAGAATGTACCAGGACAGACACATCTCACAAAAAATAAATGYCATGCCATTGATATATATTTCAAATATATTAACATCATTGTAGACAGTGCCAAGTTATCAATAAAAATCCAGTGATGAAAATATGGAATCATGTTCTTCAAAGGCGTTTAACTCCTCGACTAAGAAACCTGGGCTATGGTTTTCGTTTGGAGATTTATTTATTYGGGGGGTTATTCCRTTTATTTATTTTTTCCTATTTGTAYTGTATTTAATTTTATTGAATTGACAAAATATAGGCTTAGGAAGATATYTCATGAGAGAAGCAGGTGCTCCATTAGTTTCTCATTAACGACTCAAATCSTGATCTGGGTTATAGCAACAAGGAGTTCATAGACATAAATGGGCCAGTGATTTAYAGGGTCTTTCCATATACACAATTACAATTCATTAAACATGTGGCAGCATTTAAATGGATGGGGTAAGTCTGCATCATTTTAATGTCTGTGTGCAGTGTCCTGTTAAAGCAGCACAAAAAGGCTGGCTTTAAACACCTTCTTCTCTGAGTTAAATTCTAATCTGGTTGTAAAGCCATACCATGTCTGCCTTTCACGTGAAGAAACGGCAGAAACAGTGGGATGTGTGTGTGTGTGTGTGTGTGAGCGAGGAGCATCCTGCCGTGGTGAGGCAGGAGCGGCTGGTGTAGCTGTACTGCCTTTGATAACCACCAGGCTTAGAAGCCAAAATATGTTCTATTGGGTACTCAAAAGATAAAAATACTGGTTAATTTTCAACAGTGCTCCTTCATTTGACTTTACAATTTATAGCAGTGAACATTAATGCAAGAATAGCTTGGTTGAGGAGGAGTTTAAAATTAGAGCACCTCTTCTCATTAGCCCCAGCAGCCTGACCCAGGGTGAACTGAGAAGTAATTTGCTGCCAGATCCTCATTTTGCTTCTGTTATCACTCCTTGTAAATGAAGCGCAGCAATTTATTGTAGCACCTCAAGGAGTCAAGAACATAATGTGTAAAACACATACAAAAAAAATCTTTCTTCACATTCATTAACACCCAGCACATAGAGGCTGTTCACTTTTCACTCTAATGAAGGAGGGGGATCTTAAATCTAAAGCTTTCCAGCCTGTGAAGAAGGCCTCTTCAGGTCATTAGACAGAAGCTGAGTTGGACGGAAGAAAGGTCATTGACAAAAAAGGGAGAATGGCAATATGATGAAAAATAGAAAATGGATAAAAGAAGAGACTTTAGAAAGCTCAGAGAATGGAAAGTACATTTTTGGCATCAGTGATCAACCTTTCTTGTCTCTATGTTCATTTTCTGTTGTCAGTGAAGAAAATAATATCTGGCTTTTTATTTAGCTGGGAATTGCTCTTGTGTTTGGTCAATTCTCATTTCGCCATCCTTGATCTGACCTTGCGGGAAGCATTAATAGGCCTATTTTTAAGGGACCTTTGTCTGCTGGCTATAAATTCAGCCCTTCATTTTGCTCTTTTTTATTAAAAAACATGCAGCCTACCAGATTTTAATGTATTCTGATTATATAACTGACACTTTCCCCTTAGGGAGATCATTTGTCTCACTAGTCCTGATTAACACTTTGAGTTTATAGCTGTATATTAACACCACATTCAGGAATATTAGGAAACTCCTATATGCAAATTAATTTATACTGGTAATAGAAATAGAGGAACTTAAAGAGGAGTTGGGAGCACTCCTTGAACATGTGCTGAGTACAGAACATGTGTGCTTAGGGGTGGAAGGTACCTATGCCAAGAGGTATAGAAACCCATGGAAAATACCCTTTTGTGATTTACCAGTGTCAAGTGGCAGAAGGGTTGAATTCTGCACTTCTGTAGCAGTCACCATTGAGTGATTTTTTTTTTTTTTTTTCACACAAATGCATATAACTTGCATTGATACAATTAGCTTTTTGACATGTATATGTATTTGGGGATAAAGATAAAACCAAGTAGGGTTTTTTTTTGTGTGTTACTATTCTTGCTATTATAGACAGGCAAATATTCTTTCTCTCATTGTATATTTTCTTGTTTGCCCACATGCCATTGCTGGATCTTTGCTTGTACAAGCTAATCTCATAAATTAGAGTGTATATATTTTACAGTAAATGATTTCCCATTTACTTAACAGCATGAGACCATTATCTTGTGACAAAACTGTTGCAGTGAAGACTCTTCATTAAATAAGTAATCACCCTTTACATACAATGGAATTAGCAGTATATAAATATACCATGTTAAAAAGCCATCATTTGACAGCAACATGACCTACATCAAATTATGCCTTATTCTTCTAATCCTTTTGGAAACTGGTCTGCAGTTATAATCCTTGGATATTGGCAGACCAAAAACCCCTGATAGAAATCAGCTCTCAACATAGTCAGTTTATCAAAGAGAAATTAGAGATTATTTTGGARCTCCACAAGGGTTTGGTTTTACTTTTCTCTAAGAACCACCCGTGCAAATTATGCATGTAAATAAATGCTGCGGACGGATTTATTTGCGGCTAGGATGGAATAGCAGGTTGCCCCAAACTTCATCACTGTACTCCAATTCTGTCAGCTTTGTTGTTCAGCTGCTGTCTTGGTAYTAGGTGGTGGTATTCTTTTGAACCCAGAGAGCTTGGTAGCCATTGATTAGGGAATGATTATATAAATGGTCAGAAAAAGAGCCTCTGCATTGTCAGCACTGAAAACCACATTTAGGTGAAAAAGGTAAACTTCCCTCACCTTGTGGCCCCCCAGTTCATTCACTAGCAGTTAAAACAATTTGTCTACTTGTTTAAGTCATTGGTGTCACCTTACTGCTCATTATGAAGGAGAATATAGGTAAAGAGAGCAGACCTGGTTTCTTCTGAAAGCCTTGAATATTGAGCAGATTTAAACAGGTGGATGTAGCTCATACTGCTTCTCCTGAGTCCATGTTCATTTCCACACAGCTCGTCATTGACAGGGTCATCCTGACATCAGTTTGGCCAAGGCTTTCAGCAAAGTTATGTTTGTGCACAAGTATTTTGYGGTGTCAAAAACAGTACTCCTGGGGAAACTATTTGCTTTTCTATTTCACAATATTTACCATGAAACACATGCATTTTGTGTCTTTCCCTAAAAGTCCTGGAATTGTTACTGGAATTACGTTTTTCTCTGGAAAATCTTTTACATCCCTGTGCTTTTCTGGGACTCAGCTGAGCATGTAGCCCTTTTGCTGAGTCCCAGAGAGTATGTCCTGGAGCACTGGGAACAGAGCTCAGCTGGCTGGAGGGAAGAAAGGGGACATTATTGGTGTTGTACCTTAATGTCCAGAATAGCCAGCTGTAATTAGGAAACCACTGCTGTACAAACTGCTCTTTATGTGGCTCTGGATGTTTATATTGCATTCTCTAGGAAGAAAATGATAACACAACAGCAGCAATACTGGTAGCTCTTCAGGGTGCAATAATACATTTACAAGACATACAACACATACATTTGCAATGGCATAGAGACATTACAGACAACCCCAGAGATTTGTACAGCGAATCTTTGAAGCTGGGGTATTTAGTGAAATACGCACCTTCAGTYCCCTACGTTGGCTAGTTAACATTTAGCCTGGAAAAAAACAGGCCTTGCCTCCACGTTCACTGTTCACTCCATGGGTACCTGCGGGATGGARTCACATTGTACCTTCTTGCCAGGAGCCAGAAGGCATCACAAATGGATCTTTGACTTTGAAAGAAAGGGCTCCTGCCTGATGTTGAGAACACCATGATAA